CCATGAATGGAAATTCACTGAAGGAAGTGTCCAGTTTTAAATACTTAGAAGCAATCTTGTCTAAAGATAATACCTGCAACTCTGAAATCTGCACACAGATTGCCACAGCGATGACCAAAATCAGCTTTTAAACAATGTATAGACTGTACAAATTGCTGGTAGTCTCCATTCTCCTATATTGATGTGAAACACGGAGAAAGATCCAAGAATTTGAGAACAAATGCATGAGAAAACTCCTTGGCATTTTCTATTGGGGGGGGGGTGCGGAAAAGGGTTGAAAGTTTTGTGGGACACCAGGAACCTGTTCTCACTACTGTCAAAATAGAGAAAAATAGTGTTGTTTGGACACATTACAAGGCATGACAGCCTGTACAAGACCATCATGCAAGGCACCATTGAAGGTAGATGTTCAAAAAATAGTTGGGCAATGTAAAACAATGGACAGGTATGACTGTACCAGAACTGCTGATATTTCAAATAATTAATAGACCATTGTGGGAAAGAGTTAGTGTGGCCTCTGCATTCAGATCCACCCATCATCCCCTTGATTTTTGTAATCATAATTACAAAAATCAAGGGGATGATGATGATATTGTAAAGCTTATTACAATCTGACAACCCCCTAATATTTTTTAAAGAATTTTTATGTGATTACATGCAGAATTTCTGAAGTATGGATGTACAAACTGATAAATCTATCATTAAAAGGTCACATGTTTTAAGGGTTGTCTTCCCTTAAAAAGTTTGTCTGCTCCAACATACTTAACTGTGAGCATGTTCTGGTGTCAATCTATTGATTAACACATTAGAAAGACAACACACCATAGTTAAGAAATGTTTGTATACATTTTATACTACAAGTAATTAATATTTACTTCAATCTGATAAATTTAACTCTAAATTTGCTAATTTAAATAACGTTTCAGAAATATTTTATTTTTGCAAGATTTTTAAAAATGTAGAATTAACTTTTGTTTACAAAGTTGTCAAAAATTGTCATTTTGATCAATTTTACAAAAATAAATAAATAAATAAATAAAATCGATCCGATCAATAAAATTTCTGTTTGAAATACACCACATAACATTTTGGTTTGCTTACATACAGTAAATTTTAAAATAAATCGTTTAGTTTTCAATTAAATCTAAAATGAAAGCTTCAAGAAAGCTTTTTTTCATTTTTAAAAATTCACTTTAAACCTTACGTAGGTACCTATACCAACAATTATTTGATTTTTTTGCAACTATTTCCTAAATAACATACTTTTTACGGCAAAAAAGATGCTAAATTTCCTATACTAATCATTGGCCCACCCGCTGACGCAAGAAAAACAAGATTTTTAACCAAAATTTCGAACATGCTAGAAAAAAAAAAAAAAAAAAAAAAATGATACTTTCCTAAGAAGATAATAAACAAACATTGACGGTCGTAAAACTGTTTTCATCAAGTTTGAGGCCTTTTTCATTATGCCATGATCTATTTTAGAGAAAAAAGTGGAGGTACCCACTACTGCAAATTAAAATTTATATCATTCAGGAACGTATATTTGATTTTTGGGAGATTTTTTTTTTTTAATAAAGAGAATTACGCTGCGATGAAAAACGACTAAAAAGGGCACTAATCAGCTATTTTTAGCGAGAGAAAAAACTACCTTCTGGTCAATTTAAATTTGTTTTTGAAATACAGTAACGTATTTTACCGATTGGGAATATTTTAAATCTAATTACCTTGAAAATAAAACTAAAATAAAAGCTTCAAGAAAGATTTTTCATTTTTTTAAAATTCATTTTAAACATAGGTATCGCGTTTTCTCTGGTGGTACCACGCTTAATTCTGCTGAGTCTGTACATTGTCCCATTGAAACGGTTATCAGCTCGTATACACAGGATACAGTTCGGTTACACAAAACAAGAAACATCACTTTAAAAATGTTAAAAATTTATGAATTCTACAAGAAAAATATCGAAAAACGTGGAAAAACTATGTGCGAAAGGAAAATTAGAAAAAGTAAACAATACTGCTGCTTTCTTTTTAGCACAGTTGAGTAGGAGTTTACAAACATGGTTAAAGAAAAAGCAACACACGAGCAAGCAAGTTCTCATCATCACACCAACTCGCAGCAATCTTTAGGCTTGCCGTGTTAGTATATTACCACTAACCTAAAATTAAAAACAACCATTAGATTTTTGCCAATGTACTGAATTTTTTTTTTTAAAAAAAAAAAAAAAAAAAAAAATCAATGAACGAAATGAGTTCTAAAAACTAAAGTCTTACGGAGTAGGAGTGCAATTCAATTTTTTAAATATTTAATTTCACCTATCAAGGATTTCATAAAGTTCTTATCGTTATTTTAATTTAATCCCAAATAGAAATGTTATATAAAAAATTACCGTAATTGAGTCTCTGACAAAGTATAAGAAAGATTTATCAAAATAGTGCATGCGTCACTAAAATAGTTCTATGAATAAAGCATGTGATAAAAAAAAAAAAAAAACGAAAGAAAGGGAATGTTAGGAGAGAAAAAAAAAAAGAGATGGATATATTTGATAAAAAAATACAAAAAGGAATTTAAATTTTAAAATAAGTTGCAATTAAACAAAATAAAAGAGCTAAGACATTAATTATTTTAAAGTGTATTCGAGTGATTCCTTTTAGTTTCAGCAGTAGTTAAAAGCTGAAAGGAAAAACTATGGAAGCAGACACTATCAGTAGGAGTATTAAAGTAGCAGCAGTCTGGCAATCGTCACGTAGGCCAGCCAGCCTGCTCGCTTTACATTTACAATCATCATGCCATATAGCAGTAGTTGAGTAGTATGGATCTTAGTTCTATTCTGACCTGGATTTAAAAGGCAGCAATACAATTTCATTGGGACATGAAAACGGCCAAACCCAACCACTCAATACACTACAGACACAAACAATTTCCAGAAATCAAAAATGGATTTCAAAAACACAGTAATACTTATTTTTCAATCTAGTTGAAAGAATAATTTGTCCTAAACAACTGATGCACTCAATAAGCTAGTTAAATAAATTCACAAAAACGTTAATAAAAAATAAAAACAAAAGAAATAACATCTGTCTCATGCCACTGAAAATAGTATCCCATAGTCAACCCACAATTTTGTGTTCGTAATGATGATTTTTTTACTGTTTTCACACAATTTTGTTTACATTTCTTTTGATAAATAAAAATGCTATTCGGGTGCAAACTCATGAGCTACGTGCAGGCCGGTTGCTGCATTATGGTGGACAACTGTGACTATTGTTACAACTGCTATTAAAAATTTGCAAAACTGACACTTAAAAATATGTGAAAATACAATAGGTCTAAAAAAACGAAAACGATTTTTTTAATGTACTTCTAATGCTAATCTGTTAGTTCTAATTTTCAGAGAAACTTTCAAAAGATGAGTTCAGCATAAAAAATTCAAGAAACAATATTTTTTTTTTTTTTTTTTACCCAATTAATAGTTCTCCAAAAATAAATCCACCTTAATGTTGGAAATAATTACTTGTCAATGTTACTGGACATAATAATATGGAAGAACAGGGGGAAAAGAATCAAGGTTTTACTCAAACCCATGATTGAGTACGGTAACAAATAAATTCAATTGAGGTAATTAATTCAACTTTCTTTATTTCTCAATGGTTTTTAAAGATGTTGCTATAGTTTAAGAAAATCTTAAGATTCAATTTAAATATTTGAAGAAAAATGTTAAGACTTACCAATCACCTTAAATCATAATTTATTTTTATAAACAGTGATAGAAACTTAAAAGTAATGAGACATCCGAGAAAAACTATAGCCCTCCCACCGATTCACGAGTGACCCTGGTTTTGTTAGCAGTAGCAGGCAGCTCCTACACTTGTTCAAATAGAGAGAAGCAGGAGAAAGACTTTACAATTCAACATCCACTGCTACTATAATTACTACAACAGTTAAGTGAGGATAGAAATGTTAGGGGTCTAAGAATCTCTTTCAACTATGCAACTAAGATTTTGAATAAATACTAACAACTGACTGATAGTGATTTCGACTAATATTTTAAGCGCCATTATAATCCTACCAATAAGTTTTTTTTTAATGACACGTCTTAAAGACTTTATACAATTTTATTGTTTAGGTGATTTTTTTAATGCCTTTTCTTTAACTTATGCAATTATTAGAGTAGTAAACTGTCTATTAGCTTTAAAAAAAAAAAATTTAAAAAACATTTTTTACTAGAAGTCCCAATCTGATCAAACTTTCAAGAACAAAACGACCCATGAGAAACACTTTTCTTACATAACAGAAAAATAACTTTGACGAATAAGAAAATGTTATAATTTAATTTAAATATTCATAATCAATGTAAAATAAATTGTGCAGCGAATGACGCCAAATGTCTCATTTTTTTTTTTATTAGAATGTCACTGAATAACGATATAATTATGTAAATCTTTAAAAATGTACACTCAAGCAATGGCATACATAGGTACTTATAATTGTTTACAAAAGTACGTACTAAATAGGATTATTCAAATTTATTCCCAAATTTAACCGCTTTCATAATGGTCTTGGTGATGATACATATGAAAAATCTAATTTATCAAAGTGATCAGTATGTTTTCTGCTGGTTTTAAACAAGAATAGCGCAACATTTATTCCAAAGGTAAATGCCTATCAATAGGTGAATAATACCATTAACAATATTAGCTCAGCGTAATAACATAGCTGCTAACATAGGAGGCTCTCTAGACAACAAAATTTGTATCTATGGATGCTATAATGAAGTTTTAGAGATGTACTAATATAGTATAATACTGAGATTATTTCTTTAATAAAAATGTAATAACAAAGAAAAAAATTTCAAATATAATTGTTTGAAAAGCGAAAACGTAAAAGCAAATTACTACTACTAGGTTAACGTATAGTTTCCGACACGCAGCCATAATGGAAGGCAACACAGCCTGGAAAAGAAAGAGATGACTTCCTGAAATTAACAAGCTAAACTTACCGAACAAAAACCATTGCAATAAACTACTGTTGCTGGTTCTTTGTCTGTCAATCGTTTCTTATATTCTTCATATAGAGTCCTTAGTTCGTGCACAATTACAGGCAATTCCATTCTCAGAAAACATTAGTGCTACATGTGCGCCATACGTAAACAGTTAGTTTAATGTGTGGCGCCCTCTGACGAAAGCTGAAGAAAATGTGATAGGAAAGACAACTTTCGTTTAAATTAAGGCGAAATTTCAAGTCAGTGGACGAGAGAAATAATACTCGTTCTATTTTCTCAAATGATATATTACAATTCCTCGAAAAAACTTACTTCTTTTCAACTACTACATTAACTGCAACAACAATAATAATAGTGATAACGTCAAGGGAAATAATTTACAAAAGCCTCACTTTTCTAATCATCACAAAATAAGTAGCTTAATTTCTTGTTTCCTCTTCTCTTGTTAACCTTGTTTTATTTAAATATTTTAGTTTTCATTACATTATAAAAATTCACTTTCTTTACGCAGGTTTTCTTACCATCAATGTTCATAAACAAAATTAAAATTGTTTACAAACTTTACATGATTACATTTTATTTTTTTGCGAGTACAATTTTAATTTAAAAAATCTTATTTATTATTTAATTGAATAATAGTTTCTTATTTTTAGTTTTGTTTAGTTTTCAGAAAATGTCATACATCATGATAAACAAAATAATGTTTCATTTAGTTTCAATTTCTGATTATAACAAGTTTGTTTAAATTTTGTCAGAATAATTAATAATTTAATATAATAAATTATGAAAGCTATAATTTTATCAATGTTTTTACTTTGAGAATTAAGAACTAAATTAAAATGAAGATTGAATTAAACATGAAAAATTTGAATTTTCAGAATTTTTTTTTTAATCATTTCACTCTAAGCAATGCAATAAGTAAAAGTGAAGAGTGAAAGAAGCAGAGAAGACAATAAAAGAACAGTATTTAAGGAGATAAAAGATGACAACATTGCACTTAAATTTTTGAAGATTGTAGTTGACAGGGAAACTAGAAGAGAGTTCCACAACTATAACTTGTGAGAGAAGAAATTCTTAGCATTGAACATGGTTACATCTAACAATTTCAGCAGTGAAATTATGAGACTTAACTGCCAATCTAGTACTGTGCTTAAATTCATGAAGTCAGGGTACCAATGAGAAAAGCTCATCAGAATAATTACTGTCAAAATATAGAAGAGGTTAAAGAAAACTGTTACGGCAATGGAAAAGTAACTGAAGCCAAGATGCCAGGTCAGGACCAATAACGTTGTCAATTCTTCTTTGGATTTTGTCAAGAATCTCCAGACACATAACAGATGTGGCAGCAATATTTGATGCATGTATGAATGGTGGACTTATAAACATGCAAGATAGATTATGGCGAGAAAAATTGTCTAACATGAAATAGTGAACAGAATTTCTGAACAGCAGGCTTAGTAATTGTTTCAATAAACTCATTCCACTTCTTATCAGTGGAAAATTTGAGACTAAGAAGGGCCAGTGCTAACCTGGAGGGTATCATTAGCTATGCTGATGGAAGGTAAAAATGGTTCTTTAAGATGATTAATAGAGAGTAGTTTTGTTCTAAAGGCATTAAAATTAACAAATTACTTCTTACCTGAGTTCTCAACAAATTATAGCATATTTTGGAGATCAGTTGCCAATTTTATTTTATCAAACCTATCAGACCTACTATTAAGATAGGAATAAATGATTATGCTATTAGTATAGATACCAAGTTGGGAATTGATAATATCAGGAAGGTCATTGATGAAAATAAGGAAAAGTGTAGGTCCTAGAATAGAACCCTGGGGAATATGTACATTAATGCAAAATATTCTAGAGTAATGGCTGTTCAAGACAACTTTTATTATGCAGTTTGATAAGAAAGATTAAATCAAATCAAAGAAACTGCCAGAAACATCATAACCCTTCAACTTTTGAAGAAGACCAGCATGCTAAATCCTGTCAAACTTCTTTGAAGTATCTAAAGCAACAGACCAAGTTTCCCTATTTTTATCTTGACAGACTATGACCATCAACATATCAATAGTTGACCTAAAAAGTGAAAGCCATATTATTTGTCTGAAAGACCCTGCTAGCTGAGATGCTTAACCAATTTGGAGTTGATTAGAGCCTCTAGTGATTTGCTAAAGAGTGTTAGAAGATTAATAGGTCAATATTTCGAAGGATCAAACAAATTGCTAGAGTTCTTAAAATCAGGAACTACAGAAGAGGATTTCCAACTATCTGGAAAGCAAGAAGTAGCAAGGCATCTATTGTAGAGCTTGGAGAGAACAGGAGCAAGTTCAGAGGCACATTTCTTAAGGACTATTGCAGGGATACCATCAAATCCACATGCTTTGTGGGGACTGGGTTTAGAGATGATAGCAAAAACCATAGATGGAGTTATATACATATCACACAATAGAGACTCAGTAAAGTATTTCTGATGAGGTGAAAGTACAATTGGAAGAGAAATCACAATCAAAGCATTTTGTCTTATCAACAGAAGATGATAGCATTTCAAATTGATTGAAGAGAGGAGAGCTTTGAACTTATCCTTATTTAATACACTCTTACAGAGCCACAGGTAGTCATGGGAAACAAACTTGTGGGAGGCTATACAGTGCCTCACTCTATCAACAAACAATGACTTAAGCTCATGGAGGACATATTTACACTTATTATAAGCAGACACAAAGTTATCATGTTTGTATACACAGACATGCAAGTATGAAGCAAGAAGATTGTACTTTTATCTGATATTTACAAGAAGCCTCGATGGCAGCTTTCACCCTAGAAGAAATCTCAGAGGCAAAATTTTCAGTAGGAAGACTAAAGTTAAGTTCACAGACTAAAGACTAAACTTCAAGGATCATCACAAGGAAAGTCACAAAATGAATCCAAATCAGTATGCTGGCAGCAGAAAAAGTCTTGTGAATAGAGGGTTCATATCTAACAGATGAGTCAAAGGAAATATCAACTGACACTTCAATCTGATCCAAATTGCCAAGAGAACATAGTTGCAAAGTATAACAAGAGTCAAGAGAGAAGGTCAGGAACAAATCAAGTAAGGATCAGAATTATAAGGGAAATGAGCAGAGAAAACAACTATTTAACAGGAAGATTGAGCAACAGAAAAATTAAAAGTATGAATACTGGCAACATCAGTAGTATTAGAATGATGAAGTCATTTTATATGATGAGCATCAAAATTGCCAAAGACAAAGGAGTTTGCAGCTAAATACAGAGAAAAAGTCATTTGTAAGATATTTTATCTAACATGCTACAGTTCTGAGTAGAAGGGGAACAATAAAGGAAAAACAGATAGCTAACAGAGTTTATGAATGAGACAAAGGCACATGAAAGAATCATCAAGAGATTCAAAAGACATTTTGTTTGTCATTGGAAGATTTTCCCAAATATAAACTCCAAAGCCATTCATGTGTACCCTAGAATCCTTTTGACAAATAGAAAATTATCCTGGAACAAAGAATTCAGTAATAGATATAGAAGAGTTTTAATTAGTTTCATGGAGTGCTAAGGTATCTGGGGAATATTTCAAGAGAAAAGATTCAACACTAAAGAAATTGGTATGAATACCATGAGAGCTGGAGAAGGAAAAATTGAGGGGTTTTGCTGATATTTTGCAAACTGGTTTACTTCCTAAATAAATCCTTAGCTTTTAGTTGTTCTCTTATGGCAAAAAAAAGACATCTAAATTCTTTCTCTTTTAATCCCTCTTTTTTCTCTCATATTTGATTTTTGATCCTTTTTTTTCTCTCATCATCACTGTTACTATATTAGATATTTTGATCACTTTTTTCTCTCATCATCATTATTAATCTTATTTGATCTATTGACCTTTTGTAACAGGTTCAATGTTTAGTTGCATGAGAATGTAAAATGGTGATTTGAGATGATTAGAAATTAGAAATAAATTGAGAAAATTCTTGAGGCATGTCTTACATAATTAGAAGAAAATTAGGAAAAGAAATGAAAAATTAAAATTTCATCAGATATATAAAATGCAATTGATGAGAGAATCAGAGAGAGTTCAACCCTGAATGAATTTGGTGAAAAGTAATTAACTTTGGAATTTCTCAAAGGTAGTCTTATAAGGATAAATATTTTCAAGCTGAAATCTGATCCAAGAGGCACAAATTCTTAATACTAAGATGTTATGCCATAAGGTAATTGTCATTAAAAGTTGGAGAAATGTTATTTTGCTAGGGCCATGTATTTTCATTGGACAATGGACATTTAGATGATCCAGATTTAGATGATCATTTAGATGAAAGTGGAAATTTTTACATACATCAATGTCAAAAAGGGGTGCACAAGGTAATCATTTATATAAATCAGTGAAGCATTTGACTTTGAGAATCACTGGGAAGAGCCTGGAACAACATGCTAAGAAAATCTCCTTAGCTTAAAGACAGAAGCACACAGGCATCCTGTGAATGGAATAGACACACAGACACAAGGGGAAATCACTATTGCAGATGGGACTGGAACAGTAACTACTACAACATTGTCAATAGCAGCTAGAACAAGCCAAATTGAAGCATTCAGAAACCAAACACCTGAGAAATACTCAAATTGCCATTTTGCTACCTAGATGCATAGCTGACACATGTTTGTGTAATTTTCCCTGTCAATAAATTATTGTTAGATTTTCTGACATGGTCATTCATCATGGTTGTGAAAACATTAGGTTTATAATACCCAGAAATTCATACACAGATGTCCTCAAGGACACATGACAGTGGATAAAGGCATTAGTTAGATCCAATGACAGGACCCAAAAGAGTGTGAAGAGTGTTCAAAACCTGGTTAAGGCGGTGGAGAACTTTGAAAGGGGAATTAACAGGAGATAACTGACATCAATTGGACATGGCACATGGAACTAGAACAGTCTACCCCAGTGAGCAAAATAAAGGGTTCAGTTCAACATTCCAACCACCTGAAGAAGGCTGGAGTGTACAACAGCTGAAATGTTGTGATAAACATGGCGACATAGAATCCTTTAACTATTTAAAAAATACTGATATTGCAATATAATGCAATTATTATTAATAGAA